CACACACACACACACACACACTATTTTACATTTACATTACATTGTCATACAAATGAGGACAATGGAGGCAATCAAAATCAACAAAAGAGCAATGATATGCAAGAGCTATAACAAGTCTCAGTTAGCTTAACGCAATACACTTAGCAAGGTTTTTTTTTAAATTATATAATAAATTAAAATGAAAACAGATAGAATACAAAAAGATTAGAGAAGCTTTTTTTTTAAGAAAACAAGCAGTAGATAGAGTACAAAAAGATTAGAGAAGCTAGTGTTCGTTTTGTTTGCATGTTTGTTTTTAAGAAAACAAGCAGTAAGTAAATGAATAGAGTGCAAGTCTAAAAGGGGCAAGTTTTTAGAATTAGTAGAATTAGAATAGAGAGTGCTAGAGTTAGAGGGTCAAATAAAGATGGAAGAAATGTGTTTTCTTGAAGATGGCTAAGGACTCAGCTGCTCGGATTGAGTTTTCAAACAGCATGCCAAGCTTGTAACACACGATATAATAAGTCACAGCATATCCTACATGACTAATAAAAATCACAAACAAATTATATATAATTTTATTTCAAATAAAAGGAAAATAGTGATTTGAATCCAAACAGCTCTAAAAGATTTTAGAATAGTTCTCTGCATCCTTCTGAAGGCACTCCGCCTGTGTTTGCGGTGTTGATCGATTTGACCATTTTAACATTATTAATTACACAAACAAAACATTTAGCGTACTGTCTGTGGAAAAATATCATCAGTGATTGATTAGCCTATGTTTATTTATTGCAGACTTTATTACTAAGCGAAGCAAAACTTGCTGAAGCATCCACAACAGATGCGCAGCAAAGTTGCATGCGTTACTATAGCAACAGTAGAATCACTACACACTGTGTTTAAGAATCAAACAATCACTGTAAAAAAAAACTCTTATGTAGAGATCACGAGAAAATTAAGTCGTGATCACGAGAAAACAAGAAAAATAATCATATTCCATGGCCTCTTAGGACTTCCGTACGTCTATAGCAAGAGGGACATGAAATTTTCTTTATTACAGTCAGGCACGCATTTCACATCAACACATATATTTAACAACATCATCTTATAATTTATTATGAGAATAATAGGCATTCAATTAAATTTTTCTGGCTGGACTGTAAGAGATTAATATCGCTGTCAGAATGAGAAATAACAGATATTGATTATTCTTCATTATTGATAATCATAATGTGCAGATTCCAGTTGAAAGTGAATTTCATTTCTTCTCTCACTGTCGCACACACCAGGTGTCGGGCTGGTAGAAGACAGTTGACTTTGATTACTGATAAAGATCATCATCTCCATCATCTCTGAAATGACCCCCAGAGCCTTGGCCTGACCCCTGACCTCCACCTGACTGAGGTGCTGTAGGAAACCTGCCGATGACAGACAATTTACTGAACAAAATGAGGTATGAAGTGGCATGAGGTACTAGTGATTTGTGTGTTTATGTGTTTGAGTACCTGAAGTTTCCAAATCCACGGCTTTGCTGAAGAGTCTGAGCAAACATCTCATACTTCCGTATGTCATTATCACTGACAGAGCGACGGGCAAATCTCATGGCTTCCTCAAAATGATCCTTCCTGATCTCAGGCACCGGGTCATAATCATCATCCTGGAAACAATAGTTAATAACCCAAATATTATAATATATTTAGTCCAATGTTAAGACATCATTATAAAGCAGACAGTTCTAATCTATCATAAATGTGAGGAAAAGATGGGCTGCTCAACATGATTAGTCTGAAAAAAAATAAAACGGGTATATTTTAGCATATTCTTCTTTATGCATGCATGTTCAGGAACCAGGACTTAATCATTCTCTTTAAATGTGTGTCCAACCCACCATGGTGCACTCTTATGCAAAGAAAATGTATTTCCTTATATATGAATGATCAATATATTAAATGATTTAACGGTATATTGAAAATATACAGAATAATATATTGTGTTAATATATTACAATATATTGAATAAGGAATTGCCGTTTTCATATATCGAAAAATATGTGACAATATATTTAATTATATATTATAATATATGTAATTTTATGTTCAGGAATACACTTAATAACATATGAATGTACATGTGATAAGATATGGTACTGCATGTGTATAAATATATTGCACATACAGTGGGTACGGAAAGTATTCAGACCCCCTTAAATTTTTCACTCTTTGTTATATTGCAGCCAGCTGTGGGGGTGTTTTTCAGCTGCAGGGACAGGATGACTGGTTGCAATCGAGGGAAAGATGAATGCGGCCAAGTACAGGGATATCCTGGACGAAAACCTTCTCCAGAGTGCTCAGGACCTCAGACTGGGCCGAAGGTTTACCTTCCAACAAGACAATGACCCTAAGCACACAGCTAAAATAACGAAGGAGTGGCTTCACAACAACTCTGTGACTGTTCTTGAATGGCCCAGCCAGAGCCCTGACTTAAACCCAATTGAGCATCTCTGGAGAGACCTAAAAATGGCTGTCCACCAACGTTTACCATCCAACCTGACAGAACTGGAGAGGATCTGCAAGGAGGAATGGCAGAGGATCCCCAAATCCAGGTGTGAAAAACTTGTTGCATCTTTCCCAAAAAGACTCATGGCTGTATTAGATCAAAAGGGTGCTTCTACTAAATACTGAGCAAAGGGTCTGAGTACTTAGGACCATGTGATATTTCAGTTTTTCTTTTTTAATAAATCTGCAAAAATGTCAACAATTCTGTGTTTTTCTGTCAATATGGGGTGCTGTGTGTACATTAATGAGGAAAAAAAATTAACTTAAATGATTTTAGCAAATGGCTGCAATATAACAAAGAGAGAAAAATTGAAGGGGGTCTGAATACTTTCCGTACCCACTGTATATTCACCCATGCAGTATATACACACATAGACATATATATTTCTTATATTTTATAATTATTTACATTATATTCGTTTCATATTTTCATATATAGCTGTAACTCATTCGTGAAGTAAATATTGTATAGGAATATGTATGTGCAATATATGTGCACAATAAAGGATTGTTGCTATTTTTGTCTTCATTTCTAAACATTTTTATGTGTACCAATATATTGCCACACATGCATATATTGCAGTATACTGAAAAATATAAGTACTAGTTTCCCATATATGGAAATGTTTTATGTAATACTATACTATACTTATGTAATATTTTTGTTCTGTAAGGGTTTTTCAATCACATACGCACTAACCATAGCA